ATCCCTGGTGTCTGACTAAGCACTTGCTGTCCTTGAGGCAGCCAGCCTTGGAGTAGCCTGGGGATGGGCCTCCATCCTCCTCCACGCTCTGGAGGTCTCTGGGAGCTATGGAAGGAACCTGGTCTTTGCTGCTGTCTTAACTGGCTGGGTGCTGAGCTGGCACTCTAGTCTCSTCTGCTTGTCCTCTAGCTCAGTGTTCACCTCTCCTGGTGCCTTGGGCCCCAACACAAAAGGAAAGAGGCAGCTGTACTCACACCACCAGGAGCAAGGGGTAGTGGGTTGTGTCMGTGAAGGTCGCCGGCTTTAGGATCTGCATCGGCAAGTCTGTGGAGAAATGGAACACAGCGGTGGTCAGGGGGAGGGGGCAGCAGGGTGGATGGTGGGGCACCCCTTGGGTCTGTGTCTGCAGGGTTGTGGGGGCCTGTGGGCGCTCTGGGGAGGTGTGGGTGGAAACCTAGAGAGCAGCCCAGGCTTCCTCTCAGTGGCTCTGGCCTGCTGTGTGCCTGGAGGCTCCGTTTCTGGCTGGAGCTTAAGGTCCACCTCCCAGGAGTGTACATTGAAACCAGGAAGGACWGGTCCCTGCGGTACCTGCCAGCAGAAAAGCCCCACGGGAGTGTGAGGCCCAGCCAGGGCAGCCACTGCCACATCTGCCACATTTTGGGGATGGGTGTTTGGGGACAGGAAGACTGAGGGATGGGGCTGAGGTGGGGGAGAGGGACACAGCCCTTGGGTGCTTTGCCAGTCCCTGTCTTCAGGTTCATGCTGGGCAGGTCTGACTGCTGGAGCCAGAGGATGAGGACCCTGGGAAAAGAGCTGGTCCTGCAGCCACCGTGGTCATTGGGTTTGGTCCTCGGCAGTGTGTGGGGGGTGAGAACAGAGCCTCAAGCAAACTGGCCCACTGGTTTCCTCTGTCCACCTCTCCCCAACAAGCCTCCTGGTCCAAGTTAGAATTTGTTTGTTGACATTAACTACAACCCAGATTACCGAAGGCACAGCAATTAAGTTGGAATTAGTGGCTTTTCAATACAATTACTAACCAGACACACCGGGCTGGGCAGCCTGGCTCTGACACAGCTTCTCATTAGGGATCCCGGCTGAATGTTAATGGCTTGCAAATTGGATCAGTGATCCAGGGACCGGCAGAGAGGCAGGCACTGACTTTGTCATTCACCTGCCCCTAGAACGTGGTGCGGGCTGCTGTCTGCCACCCAGCACCTGYGGGCATACCTGGGGAAGGAGTTAGCTGGGCTCCTTCCGGGGAGTCCTTCCTGCAGCCTGCCTGGCTTCCCGAGGCCCCCAAAACAGAGGCCAGGAGGGACAGCACCGAGGACGTGCTTGCTCCTAAGGGGCGACGTCAGTCCCCGAACACCCAGCAGTGCCCCCTCCCTGCACGGGTGCCCACTTTCAGGTAAAGCTGTGCCGGGGCGCTGGCAGCAGGCGGGAGCTGGCATGGGCTCCTCAAGGCCGGCTCTGCACTTCCTGAGAGGAGGGTGATGCTGGTGCCCCAGGCATCAGGACTGGAAGCGTGGGGACAGCAGTGGAGGGGAGAGAGCTAGGCTGCGAGGCAGGGACACTGGGGCCGGGAGCCCACACGATACCCCACAGCACAGACACACTTCTTGGCCAAAGCTGGTAGTCCCAGCCTCTGCACACGGAGTTCCTGTGTTCAATTCTCTGTCCTTGAGGGCCTCTCTCGGGTCCTTCCTCAGAGCAGTCACAGAGGGGCATTTCGAGGGGTAACTCTGATTCTGCGGTGGCGGGGGACTTGCAGCACATCCCACTTACAGACTCCTTGGACTTTGGAAGGTGGGCRTAGCCTCCTGCAGGACGGTGGCCCACGTGCCTTCCGGCCACGTTTAGGTGGTCTCAGCAGACCTTGCACACACTGTGAGCTGTGACTGGGACAGAGGCCCCGGGTGCTTGGCTGAGGAGCTGGGGATGCACCGTGGGGTGGCTGGGCCAGGCAGGCCCCACCCTGCAGCACCCCCACCCTGCACTCCTTCCCACTGAAGTGGCACTCCAACTTCTCATACAACTGAACACCCCCTGCAGGGGCCGGTCTGATGTCCCAGAGTCGTCCATGACCATCAGGGTCCCTTCTCACACCTCCTCTGAACAGGCATGGCCTCTGCTTCCTGCTCCCCACKGTGAGCTGTGGCGGGCAGCGTGGTCCATCTGATTGCTTCCCTGGGTGGGCCTTGCTYCCTGCCCTGGGAGGCACAGTCTGCCAGCTAGCTGGGTCTTCTCTAGGTCATGGAGCACAAGGGTATCTGCTCGCACCTCAGGGCCCCCCGAGCCAGGCCACAAGCTGCTGTCCTACCTTCTGAATGGGACAGGGTGGACCCAGAGCACCTGCTACGAGGCCAGGTGCCTGGGGCTCCTCCCTGCCCCTCAGCACAGCTGACCCCTCTGAGGAGCCCGTCACCTGCTCTTCCTCTCCAGGCTTTGCTCTGACAGTGGCTGACCAAAGTCACCGTTCGCCCAAAGGGGAGGCCTAGGGACAACTCAGAGACGCTGGGAAAGTGGGAGCTGAGGGAAGGACTTGAAGGCCACCTGCAGGCTTGAGGTCTAAGTTGTGGAGCACAGTCAACAAGCCACAGGGTGCTGGCGTCGGAGGCCGGGAGGGAAGAATCCGGGGAGGCTGGGAGTGGGCAGCTTGCACTGGGTTCTTCAAGGCTGGTGGGTTGATCTGGGAGCCAGCTGCGTGCAGCTGAGAGGACACTATGAGGACTTTGCCTCCCCTTGGGCTGCAGGCTCCTCCAGCCTCCGCTGGGGTCCCTGTGCCTCGTGCAGAGGAGTGCTCCTGATAATGTCCTCAGTGGGCAGGTGACAGGGGCTCCTCAGGCCTTGACTCGAGTGGCAAGAGTCAAGGAAGCTGAGGCCGGATGGTCGACCCCTGCTCCTCAGGCCCCTCCCACACCTGTCATCTGTATTCCTCCAGAGGCAGGGAAGCCCCTTGTCAACTCACTGTTGACCCCAGAGGCAAGAGACCAAAGTCACGAAGACCTCAGACAGCTGGAGGTGGGACTTCCAGAGAGGCTGTCTCCCGGGAGGCCTGCCAAGGCAGCATTTCACTTGAGTTTTCACCTCAACTGCTGGCTCCCAAGGAGAGGAGTCGTGTGCTCTGCCTGGTTTTGGGCTGGTCACCACCGTGAGCACCTTGGTGTGGACACGGTGAGCCGAGGGTGGGGTGGGTGGCGAGACCTGCAGCCTCTGCACGGCTCCCCGGCTCCTGMGCTCAGCAGCAACTGCTACGGTGGGTGGTTCTACAGCAGCCCCCAGCTCTCCTTTTTAAAGGGGGAAAAGAGGAGCACTTACTATAATCATCAATCTCGATCTTCCTGTATTCGATTTTGGGCATCTGCCGGTCACTGATGGCCTTCTGGACATGCTCATTCGTCTCCAGGTCAAAGAGTTCTGCAAGAGAGAAGGCAACCCTGCCATGGGACAGGTGACCGCCACCGCACGCCTGCACACCTGGGTGCAYGTGGGCCCTCTCCTTGTCCCCCTGCTCCCCAGCCAGTGCTGGGGTGACAGTTATTATTTCTATGGGATGGACCAAGAAAGAGAGACATTAAATAGCTTGCTCAAGTGCCATGGCAGGGAGTTCGGCCTGAAGTCAGGAGCTTAGGCAGATGCCAGGTCCCTCCACTGTGCAGGCTGCCTCCGCCCCTGGAATTCTGTGCTCAGAGCATTTGTTACTCATGCAGAGTTGGCCTGACTCATCTCAGGACTGTTAGCTTTTGGAAAACGGGCATTATGTATCTGTTAGGACAGATGGTTGAAACTCAGTAGCCCAAGTAGCCAGGGAAAGAAAGACAGTGGACACTGAAATGTGGTCTTCATTATATTTTCTCCCTGCAAAATCACTTCAGATTTCTTAAGTACACAGCTATCTGGGGGCTGGGGTTGTGGCTCAAGTGGCAGTGCACTCGCCTGGCAGGCGTGAGGCACTCGATTCTCAACACCACTTAAAAATAAAGACTAAAAAAAGCTATCTGGACTTTGAGACCCTAGATTGGACAACTGTACACATGGACAGTAACGCTCCATAGGCAATGCTTTGCCACGGGACACCAGACACTGAGAGGTCCTCCTGGTGTCCAGAAAGCCCAAGGTCCTCAGGGGCGCCTGGTGTTCAGACCGTCGAGTGGCAAGAGTCAAGGAAGCTGAGGCCGGATGGTCGACCCCTGCTCCACGCCTAACTCCAACAACACTAAGCAAAGCAAATGTTCACTAGGCTCACAGACGGCTTCCTGTGCTTGAGAGACTGACTACCCAATCAGTGCTGTGGCTCTCTGATGTGACCAGACCCAGGCAATTTGCAGACCAGTGCTTGGATCTTACCAGGTCATCTCAAAGGTCCAGGTCACTGGAGGTCCACTAGGACCTGGGGAGAACCTTTACCTCTTTATCACTCTGCCTGCCTACAGGAGTGGCTCAGACGGGCAGCAGGTGAGGGACATGGGGTGTACAAATGTGGGGCCCACGGAAAAATGTGAGCTCATGAAGATTAGTGCAATTAGCAAATTAGAAGGTGAGTCAGTTGCTTTCAGCCAGTTTTTGCAGCTGGGCACTGCAGGGCCTGGGCTGGAGAGGTGTCCTGGTGGCCAGGCCTGCTCTGGGTCACTACATTGCAAAATGAGCAGGGCCAGAACCCTCTCCCAGTTCATGGAAGTACACTCTTCTTCCTCACTGAYGCCTTTGGGCGGGATGTTCTCGGCAACCTCCCAGGCCGGTCAGAAGCAGAAGTCTCCTACTCAGTGTGTCATGTTTGCGGCCTGAGYGAGGCCTGCCCAGGGCTACTGGGGACCTGCCAAGTGCCCGTCACTGGTCTCTGGGCCTGGGAGTTGTGGCTTCACGTGGGGCGCTCGATGCTCTCCCRGCTCACTGACGGCACAGCTGCATGTGAATAGCTCGCTCCTCTCTATTAAATCCCACCCTTCACAGAAGAGCAGCAAAGCCACAGACTATTAAATTTAGTTAAATATTAGATTTCTCATTTAATGATTGCCCACACAACTGGTTTTATCAGCAGAGAGCTGACTGTGTCACAGGGGAGCTGAGTTAAGCCATTTTATTTGTTCCCATAATTGCATTCAAAGAGGGCAGGAGCCCTGCAGAGAAATGAGAAAAGATTGGCATATTCCCTGAAGGACTCTTCCTTTGACTCCGGGCAGTGGGGACCTCCAGTCTGGAGCATACAAATGGCCACTCCTTAATTAAATGTGAGCCCCTCTAATATTTGGTGGAATTAGCTATTATCAGATCTGGACACAGTGAGCCCGCAGAGACAGATGCCTGCTCACGAGGGCTGCCCCCCCACCCCACKCGGCCCTGGCCTGCTCCGAGACACTTCCAAATGGCCCTGGGCTCTGCRCTCAATTCTGGAAAAGAGGTGACCAGATCCCCAGGAAACCAACAGACACCTGGACAACAGTGTGCCACTGGGGGTGGTGCAGCGGTTGTCACACTGACYCACCTGCAGGTTCCTCAAGTCCCCGAGAGCTGCCCATAAGCAGCAAGGCCTGCAGCCCCCTCTGGTGTGCCCTGRAGTGGGGAAAGAGGCCCTGCAGGTACTTCTGAGGGGTGTGGACCCCCTCGAGGGCTTGCTTGATCCCTACCTGTGATTGGCCAAATGCCAGGTGGCCCACCAAAGATGCTGAGCGGAGGTCACGCAGGCCTGATGGTCCCTCTCCCTGCTGGAAGCCTGTGTGTGTGCACCCAGGGGTCAGCAGGACTTTTGCAGACACACAGAGGGGTCCCKGGGTTGGTTCCCTGGCCTCCGCAGCCATGTGTCTGTCAGCAAATGTGCTGAGAAGGAACGGGGCCTCCAGGACCACCTCTTCCCATGTCCCTTCATCTGGCCTCACGTGCCTCAGGTGGACAGGCAGGCCTCTGAGCCACTCACCTGTCCCTGTGCCTTTTGTGGGCAGGTGAGCTSCATACCAAGGACTTGGACCACTGAGGCTGGCAGAGAAGCCCTGGTGATGGGCAGGCACCCTCTGGCAACACAGTCGGTTTTAATAAAAGTGCCGGGGCATCTAACTGGGCCAAATGCCCGYAGATCACCAAGAATCAGCCTTCAGGGTGACGGCCTGCCTGTTTCTGCACGTGGCCAGGAGAGGGCTCGAGGAGAGGAGCACAGCCATACAGGGCTCCCCRTCTCCTGCTCACAGCCTCTCACCTGTTCTGAGCTCCGATGAAACAGGAAGCAACTGGCAAAGAAGCCAGAGAATAGGAACTTGTTGTTTCTGCTTATTCTAGAAATCAGGAAAATCTCCCGACTGTGCATGAACCAGCAGGGGACAAAGAAGAGCCACACATGAAAGCGACCATTGCCTTTCATACCTAACAACCACCAAGGTGCAGCGTGTTCCGTGGTTTTGATGTGAACCACCGGTGATTGAAATAATGGGTCTCGTGGTCATGGAAAATTAAAAAACGTTTAAAAGACCTTCAAGCCTATGTGACATCAGGACAGAATTCTGGGGACCAGCAGTGGGAAGGAAGTGTCAGCATGAGGAGTCAAAGGAGGGATGTACAATGTTTGACTAGTAAAGAAGAGCTTCAGGAAACGCCTGACGGCAGGAATTTCACCGTGAGGACACTGACATGCCACACGATCATGCAAGGGTTTTGTTTTGAAGTGAAAATGTCTTGGGGCTGGGGCAGCAGCTCAGGGGTAGAGTGCCTGCCTCGCAACTGGTTGGATCCTCGGCACCACATAAAAATAAATAAATAAAGATATTGTGTCCATCTACATAGAAAAAAATGAAAATGTCTCTGCTAGATGCTGAAAATGAAGCTCTTCAATGAGGAAGAACTTCGGGTGACAACACAGAGTTGTGTGAGGGGACTCAGGGCATGGTGTGAGGGCACTCATGGGCAAGCTGTTCTGTGGACTGTTGACTCGGTCCACSTCTGCATGGGGTGAGTCTTGGCAAGGGTCCTCGCCTGAATGCCACTTTGCAGTAAGGCTTTCTTTGGCCACCTCACCGCTTCTTCAAGCATGTGAACACTCTAGTTCTCAGAGGYACCTGGACACCAGGCTTCCATCCGGCACCGGGGCTGCATTTAGAGCCACAGGCTTGGAGTYGGTTCCTTGCTCTGCATTTGGAAACCCTGTGAGCATCTGCCCTGTCCTCAGGAACAGCACCTGTGGCTGGTGAGGCGGGCCACTCCACCCTGCTGGCCCACAAGCTGGAAAGCCCTTGGCCCCTCTCTTGGGGACAGGCCTGGCATCAGGAGGCATCCAACTGGCCTGCTGCTGCGATACCAGGAAGGCCTGTCCATTCCTCTCTGCTCAGACCAGGAAGGGCCATGTTTTGATGGCAGAGACCATAGGAAGACTCCAAGACACTTTGCATGGTCAGCAGAGGTCACCCTCTCCCTGGAGAGCAGGGACAAGGTGGCTCTTAAGTCTCCTTTCCCCTCTTTCTCTGTGGGTCATGCCCTCATCTCTCCCCTGGGCAGTGGCCTGGCAGCCCTTCCTCATGGCAGTGCCCAGTCCTCCTACCCACCCACACATGGTGCCCAGACCTGACTGTCACTCCGGGTCCTACAGGCAGCAGCCAGGCTGCTTAGCAACACTCGTGGGCCCTTCATGATTGCATGCTGGGTGCATGTCCCGTCATCTTGAGAGAGGCGGTGGCATGAGCAGCGTCCTGACAGCCTGGTGGGCGTCCCTCAGGAAGCACGCAGGAGGCCGGGAGGTTGAGGGAGAGTGGCACGGGGCACGGTCTTCCATGCCACAGGGCTCGGTGGCCAGGCGGGCTGGAGTTTAGGCACCGTGGGTCTTGTCRTGGACCATCCTGACATCACCCCAGGCCCTGCACCTTTCTCACGGAAGCTGTGGAACCGACCTAGGAATCCCTCTGTGTGTCTGCCAGAGTCCTGCACCGTGAGCCACCAGGATCCAGCTGTCACACGCACGTGTTAGACGTGCTTGTGAGGACTTTCTACCCCACGCCCAGGTTGTTTGCATACTCAGGCACCCACTGAACGTGCTTTGCCCAGCCATAATTACATCCTTAAGGAAACAGCCTTTAAATAATTCAGAGTCACAGCTGTGAACACCACAGGCTCTGTTTGTAGATAAGATTTTCTAAAGGGGAAAAAGTCAAATATTCCCAGGGAGGTTCAGGGTCAGGGTGGGAGAGGGAGAAAGGACAGGCATTCTGCAACAGTGATTCCCCTCCACAGCAGGCCTGGGGCGAGAGCCACCTGCCCCAAGGGTGCGCACAGCCCAGCCTTCCAGGGCCTCCCTGGTGTCGGCACGTGGGTCCTGATGGTGTCKGTCCTCTTTGCTGTCCCTGTGGTGGCTTCTTCTGCAGTCCAGGAGCTTGCTCGTTGTCACACTGTCCAGCTGCAGCCACCTGGACCCTGCTCTCTGTAGCTCAGCCCCTCAGGGTGGT